AGAAATCATTTTGGCCTGGCATAAATGTGAATTGCACTCAGACATGGAGCGCAATTTCCCTCATGTCTCATTAGAAAGCAAAGGAAATTTGCTCATGTGCAGAATCTAACCGCATTTTCGAATCTGCTTCCAAACTAGCCCGGCTGCGAGACGACTGAGCACAATTCATGGAAGTTTTAGAGTTGCTAAACAAACTGGCAGCATCTTGCTTGCGAGATTAGCAACCAATAAGCCAAAGGCTGTGTCATAGAAGGCAGAATAGTTGATCCAGATCTAAGTCAATGAAGCAAGCTTGTACATGAAATTAATTCTATTCCATGTGAGCATACTGAAAAAATTGTCAATATAGTCAGAGGAAGAGAAAGGGACTGGTCCATCTCATAATTCCTCAATTTGGTCGGTCTAGTTATGTTTTATCATTATATTTTTGGGAATATTTTCTGCACATGTATGGTCCTGGATGTCATTAATTTAGAAGATACGCTCTGTTGGCAAAAGTCTCTCCTTCGCTAACCTATTCGGTTACGGAATGATGTTTTTAAAACGATGACTTTAATTTTAAATTTAGGTGCTAATGCTCTATAATGGCGGTCGGATTGCCTTCTATTGTGGCAATATCAATAGGCTGATGCAGGATGCTAACATTGTAAGGCCAACGGTATTCTTTGCTGTACCTCGAATTTTTACCAAAATATACCAAGACTATCTGAAGTGGAGGCAAGAAAATGGGTGAGTTTTAGGATTGGCTTGCTGTTGTTCATATCATTAATTATACTTTTAAACACTGCTTGCCCTAGAGAATCAATGTGCTGTAGGTTAACATTGTGTTCGCTCTTATATGATCAGAACCTGAGATTTGTTAGAATAACAGGAATAACATGGTGAAGCGATTGTTCAGTCAAGTTTTTCACAAAATTGCCATATTTTAATTCATTTCATACCTTCATAGGGTTAAACTTGATACATTCATATTTTGCATCCTTATGACAATTGCGGCCTTGCTTTCTAGGCAAAGTCTACTAGCAGTCCTTAATTCACCGTAAGCGACCTAGAGTAACCAGATTCTGATAAAAGGTTACCGATAATTTCAAAACATACCTACGCTGTATTCGTATGAAAGTAGGGTTTCGAGACTACCAGTAAATCATTGTAATGAGATGTATTCACCCTATTTC